GACAAGGATGGAAACTCCGGGTAGTGAAATCTGATATGGCTCCCTCCAAATGAGAGCTCAGATCATCCTCCTCGTACTAAACATGCACGAAGTTAAGAGTTTGGATCTTATCCCATTGGCCCGTATGCTCAAGGCTTAGGACCAACCTGCGGTGCTAGCGGGAGGTGGTGGACTCTTCAGGAGGTGAGGCCTGGTAGAAGGAAGTTTGCCCACCAGCGGCTGCTCCTGCAGGAGGCAGGGAGACTCTGGCCTCTTCCTCTCTTTTCTTTCCTGGCAATCATGAGGTGAGCAGTTTCCTCTGCCACAACACACTTCCTTGCCAAAGGCCCAAAGGCAATCGGGCCAAATGACTATGGCCTGAAACCTTAAAAATTGTGAGACAAAGTAAACCTCTTCCGTTTAAGGTGATCATTTTGCCACAGTGACACAGAGCTGACATACATAAATATGTCGAAGCATTCTTTCTTTCTCTCCCTCTCCCCCACCGTACTGCGTGTGTGCACGTGTGTGTTTGAGCCCCCTGCAAGGGCCAACAGACAAAGGCAGAATATGTGAGAGAATGAGTGTATTAGTTGCTTCCTCATCACTGGGACAAAATATTCTGGACCTACAACTTAAAAGAAGAGAGGTTTAATTTGGTTCATAGTTTGAGAAGGTTCAGCCTATGGTTGGCTGACTCTGGGGCAAAAGTGGCATGAAAAAGCCTGATGCAGGAAAGCTGCTTAAGCCATGGCAGCCAGGAAGCAGAGGGAGAAGGAAGGAGCTGGAGACACAAACATGTCCGTCCAGGTCACGTCCCCAGTGATCCACTCCTCACCAGGCCCTACCTTCTGATGGCACATTCAGCTAACTCATCTGCGGATTGATCCACAAAAGAGCACAGTGTGCTCCCTGATCCCATCACTTCCCAAAGGCCCTACCTCCGAACACATGAAACTTTAGAGGGGAGCACTTTAGATCTAAAGCATAATATTCTACGCCGGGTCCCTAAAACGCTTATGTCCATCTCATACTGCAAAATCATGTGTTCCATCTCTAAGAGTGGCCAAAGTCTTAACAGTTTAAGCATTGCCGAAAAGTTTAAGTCCAAAGTTTCTTCCAAAACTCAAGGCAGACTCTTAGCTGTGAGCCATTACTAAAATCTAAAAGAAAGTTAAATACATCCAACTCACAAAGGCGAGGGGTAAACATTTCCATTCCAAAAGGGAGAAAAAGGGGAGTAAAAAAGAATCAGACCAAAACAAGATCCACAGCTATCAGGACAAACAGGGTACTGTATCTCCCCGTCCAGGACCTAGCCAGGTTACGGCAGGATGGCGCTCCAAAGGCTTAGGTGGCCCCACTGCTGTGGTGTTTTACTCCTCTCTCGGGCTGGCTGTACCTGCCGCTTGCAGCTTTTCTCAGTGTACATTCCTCATTTCTGGCATCTCCAACTCCCTTTGCTTCACGCCTTTCTCTTTCAGGTGCTTCTTTCTGGCATCCCAGGCTTTCCTTTGAAATCTCAGTGGAAGCCTCCCTGATGCCACAACACTTACATTCCAGACACTGGCATAACCAGCATCACATAAATGATACCAAAATTGGCTGCCAGCTTGGGCCCCTATGGACCACGGCTGTTTTGGCCTCCGGATGTCAGGATGGCTGAGCACATTGAAATGAATCCCGGGGAACAAATTCCCTAGGAGGCCCTTCCTGAGCAGGTACCCCAGGGACTCTCTTCTCAAAGCAGTCCTTCATGGAGTTTACCCTTTTATACCTTTGAGCTTCTGATGGGTGGGGTCTGGAATTTCCTGAGATGTCCTTAATACAGCTTTCCTTTGTAATGGTGCAAAGTACTTGGCTTCTTTTTAATGGCACTTTTTTGGGGTTTTTTGAGATAGGGTATCGCTACATAGTCCAGGCTGGACCTGAAGTCACTATGTAGCCCAGGCTGGCCTTGAACTTGGGGTGATCCTACCTCAGCCTCCCAAGTGTTGGGATTATAGTTTAATGCTAATTTTTTCAGCAATCATGCTCTCTTTGGCTCTAGCTTTTCCTGTGCTGTCTTTCTGGTCAATCTGCAAAATTTTCACACCTTTCAGCTCTGCTTTTTGCTCTAGATTCTCAATGTAGATCTGCCTGAAAGCAGCCAGCAGTATTCATGCTGGGCTGCCCAGAAATCTCCTCTGCCAGATGAATTAATCTGCTATCTTTAAATTCAGCTTCACACATAGTCTTAGGACACAGGCAAGAAGAAGACAAGTACTTTGTCAGAATGTAACATGAATGGCCCCTTTGTCCAATTTCCAAGACTCCTTGTTTGAATCTGAAACCTCATGAGCCTGGTCTTCACTGTCCACATTCCAATAAGTATTCTGGTCTTTGATCCCTGCTTATAGTATTCTAGGGCTTCTCTAGTGTGCATCTCCAACCTTTTCCAAACCTCTCCTGCAAACAAATTCCAAAGGCGTCTGAATTACATGGTTAGAGACCCAGTCACAGAGAGCACTGGCTCCACTCCTGGTCACAATTTTTCTGTATTAGTGACTTTCCTACTGGGACAAAATACTTGACACTGCACCCTAAAGGGAGAGGTTTATTTAGGCTCATGAATTTAGTCTATGGTCAGCGGGCTTTGAGGCGGAAGTGGCATGGTGGAGGGCCTGATACAAGAAATCTGCTCAATCTCTGATATCCAGGAATGGAGCGGGAGGGAGAGAGAGGGGGATGGCAGAAGGGAGAGGGAGGAGGAAGAAGAGAGGCCACTAGAGACAAGAAGACACACCTCCAGGTCACACCCCCAGTGACCCACCTCCTCTACCCAGGCCCCACCTACCAGCAGCACTTTAGCTATGAACCTATCAATGGTTTAATCCACTGATGAGCACAGTTTCCCAAATGACTCAGTCACCTTCCAAAAGCCCCATCTCTGAACATGTGACTTTGGGGGCATTTTAGATCTAAACTACAAAAACAGTTTCTGAAAATGCATGCTTCTTACAAATGAGAAAAAAATTTTGAGTGATGGTCTAAGATGGGGACTTTTAAATTGTCTGTTGTGTAGGCCTGGAGTGACTAGTTACTTTTCTCATTGCTGAGGCAAAATATTCAACACCCAAAGTTAAAGAAGAAAGGTTCATTTAGCTCACAGTTTGTAGGGATTTCTGTCCATATTCAGCTGGCTCCAACGCAGGGTAGCACAGGACAGAGGGGCAACCATTCATGGTGGCAGAAGACAGCAAGAGCAACCAGAGAACCTTAATGGAGTCTTTCTGCCCTCTTTTATCTCATCCAGATTACTGGGATTAGGGTGGTGCCAAACCAATCAGTGGACTGGTTTAGCAATCACATGTAATTAATCTCAGCATCACACACTCTAGATTCAGCTACCTCTGAAAACGTCACTTATGACCTAGGCTTTGGGAGGACATCTAGACACAGACCATAACATAGGACCACAATGCTCTCCAAAACTATTAACTCATGAAAGACACAACCAGGCAATAAAGTGCTTACCTATGCAGACTATGTCACTGTGCTGTCACAATCCCTCTAAAAATGTCAAGCTTAATACTGCGTATAAAAATCAATGAAATTTTCAAATAATTATAGTATTTGCTATTAATTAATTGAAAAGTAAAACCAAACCAAACCAAAAAAATCTAGTAGGCACTTATTTTCAAATATATTTCTTAATTATAAGATTGATTCTAAGAAATCACTTGTACTTTAGAAAATACACTTGATTTAAAAAATTCTATTAACCTTTCTGAATGATCTAATGGTTCTAGATTCTGAATTAGATTATTTGAAAACTTGTATTTCCAACTTGACTTTTACGGAACAAATAACCAAAGGCACATACAAAAGCCCCAAAATAATCATGGCTGCGCATAAAGATCTAGCTATGAAGATATTTATCACAGCATTAGAACAGTAACCTTTTTCTAGTTTTAAGGGGTTGTTGGTGAACTGATTTATGATACAGCCATACAATGAAATACTATGCACTTATTAAAATTGATATTGTACAATAGTAATGTTATGAAAAAATATCTATGCTGTTCTAATGATGTTTAAAAATGAAGTATAGACTAGAACCTAGTATATAATCTCATTTCTGTTGAAATGCCCAGTGGAAGACACCTTTAGGATTATGTCTATTTTGGGCACCTGTGGTTTCACATTTTTATTTTATTTTTTCCCTTCTCTTGGATCATGCACACTGAGAGGAAAGCGAACTGTCGTGCTGTAAGTAGTTATGTGGAGAGGCCCAGACGGCAAGAAAATGAATCCACTGGTCAACAGCCGGTTGGAACTGAGGCCTGCCTATAACGCATGAGTGAGTTCTGAAGCACGCTTGCTAGCCCTAGCACAATATTGTGTAAGATGGTCACAGTCTGCCTGATGGCCTGACTACAATTTTTCTAGAGAAACTCTGAAACTCTGAAACTTAGCCACTCAGCTGAGCTGGGCCTGAATTCTTGATCCCCAGAAACTGAAAGACAGAACATGTCTACTGTTCTTTGAAGCTGCTAGGTTTTAGGACACTTTCTTAGGCAGCAATTCATAACCGACACATATGTGCACAGTGAAACGACTAGGACAGAATTCAAACTATGTTCATGCTTTTCTCTAGGTGGTAGGATCATGAGAAATTTTTATTTTATTTAGCACAATGTTGGCAAATGTTTTTCTTCTTCAGAAGCTGAAGAAGAGAAACCATACAACCCTATGAAGAATAAAGAATTTTAGCTTTTATAATCCTTAAAGAATTTTTCCAAGTTAATTTGCTGACATGTGCACAAATTTAAAAATAATAGCAATAAAAATCAAACTCCAAAGAGAGTGCCTGAATGGCGTGGTAGAGTAAATTTCCTCACCAGAAAACATGCAGCACACTGTAAGCAGCAGTGTCCACTACCTGCAAGGAAGGGAGACTTCTACGGGCTACCTAGGAGGAAAGCCAGACAGAACAGAAGTCACCTGCTGGCTCCCTGTGATGTGAAATCCTCACTTACCCAGCTTCTGGTCAAACCGCCATGCTGCAACATAGGCATCGTGCCTCAGGCTGCTCTGTGTGGCTAGGGGCACAGTGACGTAGATGGGACCGTCCACCAGCACTGGGGTTCCATTACTGCTCAGCAAGTGGATGCTGACAGCCGTGATAGGGGTCAGCTCATACCTGGTACTGTTTCCTGGAAGGAAGAGGTATTCTCCGTCACTCACAGAGTACCTGGGCCATGGGTACTTTTTGCAGAAAGATAGTCACAGCTACCATTTAGTGAACAGAATTTTTAATATGCCTGGGGCAACAAAAATCACTTTTTTTTTGGTAGTACTGGAAATTGAACCCAGGGCCTGACACTGAGCTACACTGTCAGCCTTTTAATATATTTTATTTTGAGACAGGGTCTCAGTCACTAAATTACCCAGGCTGGACTTGAATTTGCAATCCTCCTGCTTCAGCCTTCCAGAGTGCTGGGACTGCAGACATGAGCCACCATGCCCAGGTTGCAGTAAACACTTTACTTGAAAGATACTCACCATGATACTACTTGGCAAGCAAAATTTCCATTTTAGAAAGAAACAGCCCCAGAATGAGTAGCAATTTTAGCTGCTCTAAGGGCATACCACTCCTAGTGATTGTGCTGATTCCAAAGAGGGCCTCCAAAGCAAAGGACTCTTGTAATGTGAGACAAAGGCCTATGTGGAAATCATTGAAAACAACTTCTACCAAAGCAAGCCCCAATGTGTGTTAGTTAACATATACATCGATAACAGAGTACCATGTTTTAGATCAGAGACTGTTTTTTGTTTGTTTCTGTAGCAAGACAGGGTCTTGCTATGTATTTTAGGTGGCCTCGAGCTCACTATGTAGTCCAGGCTGGCCTTGAACTCACTGAAATCCTCCTGCCTCAGCTTCCTACGTACTGAGATTACAGTTATGCGCCACCTTGCCTGGTTGTTTTTGTTTTAAACAGTAAATTTCTTTAAGAATTGCTGCAATATAATAACTTACTTCTAAAAAAGTATATCATTAAAACTTGAGCTTGAAGTCTTTATGAATTATTTTAGTTGCCATTGTTATTTTGATCTGCGTAAAAAGAATTTAATATCCCAATTACTCTCCATTAGAGGACTTTTATCCAAGCCAATGCTTTAATGGCCATCTACAGCTAAGTCAGAGAATGCTTATGAGAGGGATATTTATACACTTAAGCAATCCATTTTAGATTTTTCTCTAGTAAAATATAATACCATGTAAAACGCACTGTCAAAACTTTACATCTTTTCTTGAACAGAATGACACACATTGTTTGTAAGATTTCTTAATTAGTTATTTATACACTTACCTACCTAAGGTAATGTCTACTCCAGTGTGGACTAAATGTAAACACTTAAAGCAACCCTAATGAACTTCAGAGTATAAACAATGACTTATAGCTAAACCTTCATGGAGAAGTTTCTAAACAGCTAGTGATACAGCACCTCTCATCCTTTATAACTACTTGGGAGGAGAGATTTATCAAAAGGTCTACATTGGAATCCAATTCAAAACCTTTGAGTCTTGCCATTTCATTTTAAAACAAGGAAAACCAGAACCCAGAGTTTAGCATATTTCTAGTTAAAATACCTTATAGGTGCCAACCACGTAAAGATGACGCAGTAGCAGGCCAGGTCTACAATGTACAGCTTAACTAACTACAAAGACAGTGAGTAGTTTATTTGACTCAACTAAATCTTCCTTTAGGAAGAGCTATTTTCTTCCATCCAAGCCTGTGCAGGATGTCTGTACAGGAGGTAGGCAGACGGTGTAAAAAGCATCAGAATGAATCTCCTGGGCTGGAAGTATATTTCAGCGGTGGAGCATTTGACTAGCTTGTGCTGGGTTCAATGTTCAGCATGGCAAACAGAAAGAGAAAATAAAGAAGAAAGGAAGGAAAGAAGGAATGGATCTCCCCTCTTCTGCCTTATCACAGAAGGAAGGAAGGAAGGAAGAAAAAGACAGACAGACCTCTCCCCTCTTCTCTTCACCATTTTTTTTGGTATCAGGAGTCACACTCAGGGCCTCATGCTTGCCACACAGGTTCTCTTATCACCTTTTGATTCTTCTGCCCTACACAACCCTGGTCTAGGCAGATGGGGTTCCTGCATCCGATCTGGTGCTAACTACCTACTTAAGCCTCAGAAAGTTGCTCCACTCCTCTGGGGCTGTTTGCTTCTCTCCGTAACTAAGCAGGGTGGATTCCATGCCTTCTTGAGGGCATGGACGTCGCTATCTCAGCTGTAAGCATTCAGCAGCAGGCAACATTGCAGAAATGAGTGCTTCGGCAGAAAGCAGCAGGCACTAGGCTTCCGGCACGGCACACTCCTTTAAAGCTCTCTAGGTGTCTCCAGACGACACATGTGCTTTCCGGGGGCCTCTCCTTTTCGGTGCTCCATTATTTAATGTGCTCTATGTCTAATGTGCTCTATGCCTCCCTGATCACTTTCTCTACCCTCCGCTTTCTTTACTCTCAAGGGTGAAATTATCTGCTACCCACTCTTTTTTTTTAAACGAGACTCCACTTCTACAGAAAATACTGAGTGCTATAGGCATTTGTTCCTGTCCCATCTTAATTTTACCCGGCCCTTTGGGTACAAATAAAGATAGGTGTCACGGCAAAGCAGCAAGAGGAGGAGGACCACGGACCAAGCCAGGAATCCAGCGGTACCAACTGGTCCCTTGTACCATGAGCAGTTTGCTCAGTCATCACTTTGCAATCTAGTATGGGGTCAACCACTACTCATTAGAAAACCTAAAATCTGGGACTCTAAGTGCCATGATGCTCAACTGACAAAGTCTGTGCAAACATTTCAAAATCTGAAAGACTCCAAAATCCAAAACACTCCAGGTCCCATGTATTTTGCATAAATGATACTCAACTTTTGAGGGATACCAGAAATCCTGCCCCTTTGTCACTTAATTGACTCTTATCTGTTTTACTGGAATTAATTAGCGACAATAATTTTTGAAGATCTCTTGGGAATGCCACAGAGCAGTTCTGTGCTTTCATAGCAGCTAGGGGAAGGTGTGACAGAAGGCTTTGGCCTATGGGTGACGAGAGTACTTTTTTCGTAGTACATGTCTGTGATATATGGCAATTGCATTCATTTTGGGGAATTGGTACATAAACATATTGCATCTGGATCATTTTTATTCCCCTTCCCTCTGCCCCTCCCCAGATTACCTTCCTATCTCCACAGAGTCTACTTCCTTGTTTCATACCATCTCTCTTTTATTTTGCTCTTTAAATTATTTATGATCTGATCCTCTCTCATTAGAGAAATGATACCATATTTAACCTGTGTGTCTGACTTATTTCACTTTAGTATTATGGTCTCAACATCCATCTATTTTCCATTTTTCTTTATGGCTAAGTAGTCCATTGTGTACCAGCACAAAAACAGACCTGTGGGACAGAACAGAGGATGCAGAAATAACCCCAAGCACCTTCAATCATTTGATTTTTGACACAAGAGCCAATAATACGTGTTGGAATGATCGTATTACAGTGGGCGCCCTTTGTGCTGCCAGGAAGCTAATGGAACAGATAGATGGCAAAAAAAAACAAGTGGGGAAGTAGGTAAAATATCCACTTGGCTACATTTGTCTATTCTAACTCTGGAGCTTTCCTCTAAAAGGACACAGCTGTCTTTACAACACTCCCAGGACACCTTCTGCCAATCCCCCTGTAGCTTGCTCTGTTTCTGCCCACCTTTATTGACCTCTAGATTTTACTTGTCATCTTACAAAGACACATCCGATTCCAGTTCTCCCTCTTGACTGAAATCTCTTAGATGCCATCTGAAAAGCTGGAGAGATGTTTTTGTGGGGCAGGAGAGAAGCCATATTCAAACTGTGCCTGGAGGCTGGTACTGAGCTGATGGGCCACAGAATTTCTGTGCTCTGTGGAGCTTGAGCTCCTGGGATCCTAATGGCACCTATGAATATACCATGGGCTAGATGTCCTTGCTGGTAGGGTTCAGGGAAAGTCTGATCCTCTCTAGGTTAACTTATCAGTTATTTTAGTGGAAAAGAAGTCTAATGTCACCTTCTAAAGACTTGCTGTCTTCTCTCTACAACACAGTGATTTAAAAATTAAACTCTATAAAATCAATAGTCCTTCGTCTTTGAGTTCTTCTTCCTCCAGTCTTCCCAGATTTCATAATTTATGTAAGAATTATTGGAAGTGGGACACAGAAAAGCTAATGAGCTCTGAGGAATGAGGATGTCCCTTGGAATTGGGGCTTATGACTGCGCTGCGTTTTGTTACAGAGACTGGATGGAAGTTATGATGGTCTCAAACTGAATGTCTTCAGGTTCTCTAAAACAATGCTTTTCTTGTGCACACTTAAAGTAAAAGTCAGTATTTCCCCCCAGAAGGTTTACTAAAGTTGACTACTATACATCTGTCTGATGGTAAATGACTGACATATAAATTGCCTCACCAGCACAGAATACAGGAAGAAAAATTTGTTAAAATATATACAAAAGAGGGTAAAAAAGTAAAGAAATCACCAGGTCACCTTGATCTCTAACCATAAATTTATTAATATGCTGCAAAACAGATCAGATGATTTAGATTTTAAAGGCCCCCCCCCGAATTATCAGTTCATGTAAAGTACTGGAAAATTAAGTGAAATTCAATAAAACTATCCCTGGGAAATGGAGTAATTTACTCACCTTGTCGGATTTAACCCTGAAAAGTCTCAGTTTTCAGTTTCATGAAGCAGCTATTCCAAAACATAGGGGATGAAAGGAGAACAGACAAGAGACTGACTCAGGACTCCCAGGTCCTGGCTCCTCTCCCACACCAGAGGATGGCCGGGAAGCCTGTTATCCAAGTGCTCCTGAGAGTACGGTGGGTATGGGTGGAGGTGGGAGGCACACATCTGCAGTCTTTCTCTGATAAGGCACTATCACTTCTTTTCTCGCTGGTGGCCTTTGTTTTCTCTGATCTTGTGGCTGTTATGTGTCACACTAGAACAGTGACGGTGACAGAGCTGACTTAGAGATCTGCCAGAGGAAGATTCCAGATCAACTTCAAAGCCTGGCCACTCTCTGACCCTACACACAAACCCCCTTCGAAACCCTTTCTGTTCTGACGCTCTCTGAAGGGAAAGACACAGAGAGAAGGTGAGTGCGGAGAGGAAAGATGTAGGGCAGCAGAGGCCCCAGCTCCTGAGGGCCCCACGTGCTGGTGGGTGGGGTGTGGAACACACTGCCCAGTTCCTGATGTGATGAGTGCTGCACTTCCCCTGCACCTGGGGCACACAGCGGTGGGCGGCAGGGCTGTGCGTCTCCTCCAGGGGAGCCGGGTAGTGGTACACGGCAGAGTCAGTGGGGCAGAAATCCTCCGATTCTAACCTCAGATTTAAACGTAAATTACAAACTCAATTATAACTTATTCTCTGAATTAAAAACCCTTGGCCCACCAGAGCAGGGCCCAGTGAAGGTACTTCCAGCAGCTAGCAGCCACAGAAAGGCTCGAGATCAACTGGCTGAAGCGAAATCCTGCACAGTCCAGGGTGAACCAACTCACTGGTGAAGGTGAACGCTCAAGATGCCGAGCTCTGCTCCTGCACTGCCCTGGCCATTCTCCCCTTACTGCCAACGCCTGCACACATGTCCAAAGCCACACATGGAGACTAGAACACAGAGTTCCCACGCTGAGAGAAGAGACTCCAATTACCTGTTCCATTTCCGTCTAATCCTCGCAAATAAGGAAAGCTGTCCACTTCCGAGGGAGAGCTGGCAGCTGTGAGGAATGCAGTGAGGTCGCTGTAGCTGGTGTTCTCAGGCAAGCGCAGAGCCCTTCTTTGGAAATGAACACGAGGCTGTAGCCTGGCACCTGTGGGCATTAACCTCCGAGTTACCTTCCCAAGGAGCTGCTGTCTGCTTTAGAAAATGCAAAACCAAGGAGCGCTTCCCCTGGGTTCCAACATGCCTCCCCCAGTCTGCCCCTTCCCACACTGCCTCCCACCCCTCATTCATGCAGGACACAAAGACAGAACAACATGCTATTATAGGGTGAGAAATAATAGCCCATTGTCACATTTGTTTTGACACAGGATGTTATTTAGGTTTTTAACAAAAAGCTTTTTCCAAGTTCTTTTCACTGCACAGCATTTGCCTGTGGATTGGGTAATAATTCGAGAAAGTCCAAGAGTAAAGGAAACAAAGCAGATGACAATTAATCTCTTTACATAAACAATGCAAGATACTCTTGGATGCTGCTCCTAACCCATCTCCCAGGTAGAATCTAGTTTAACTGCACAGAGCAAACTGAAGCAGAGCAAACGAACTGAATGCGCAGCCTTTGGAAGAAATGAACAAGACGCTTAGCAGTTTGAACCCTTTCCTTCCTGTGGAAGCTGCCACTGGCACCTCGCCTGTCCCTCGGGGGTGCTGCCTACTTGTGGCAGACTACGTCAGAGAATTTACAAGGAGATCTGAACATGACGTGCAGTGATGCCCTTTCATCCAGCTCGGCCTGCTCCTTCGTTTTACCCAGTTAGTTACCTGTGAGGTCTCCCACATCCTTCTCTAGATGCTGTTGTGACTGCAAGCAAAGCCTGAACCTGTTTTTACCCAACACAGTGGCGACAGTCACTGGCGTGAAGATGCTAAGCAATTCTGGCAAATTTATTAACACAAAAACCATGTATCCTCCAGCTTGAGGTTGACTCTGTCCCCTGTGCTCAGCAAAGGGCTCCTTCTCCCCGACCCACAGCTGTCTCAGTATACCAGCCCTGCCTGTTCACAGCCACTCCAGAGTTCCCTTTAGCCCTGGGGCAGAGAACTTACAAGGGAACAACAGCCTACCTGAAAGTGTTCTGGAATAAGAGCTTCAGAATTCAAAGCATCAGCAAACCTGAGGCTCTTTTCCTACTGGTGGGGCCACAGAAGCCCACATGACATATCTTTTATACAGGGCAGGCTGCCCTGGCTGCCTAGGACTTGGGTGGTAGTAGGGTCACACGCTTCCTCTACCTCCTAAAGATCACTGCTCAGGCCGTTTCTCTGGTTGAATGTCCACTCTGAAACACAGGCCCAGGGGCAGAGCCCAGAGGGCCAGGTGGTGAGAGCCATGGCAGTCCTGTCTCATGCTGCTCACCTGCACCGACACTCACTGTACACATCTACCAGTTCAGTTCTGGACCATGCATGCCATCTTCATCCCTGAAACAAATGCAGAGTGCTGTACCACCTCCATGGTCTGCATCGTTTGACATTTTCCGCCTCAGTCTGGTCTTTTCCTCTGATGGTATAGAATACCGATGTCTCACTCCCTCTGGGTCTGCACAGAATCCAAGCTCCTTGTGGTTCCTTGAGTTCCTTGTGGCTGGCTAGAAGCAGTGTGCTCCTTACCCCTTTCTCGCGTTTGACTACACACACTTCTTTCTTTGTCCTTTTCCATCCTGCCCTCTGAGGTGCAGTGTCAAAGTCAGTCGTCTGCCTTTCAATCTCCTCACCCCACCTACAGAGTAACACTAGTGTTTCAATGTTAATTGTTCTCACTGAGAGGAAAATACTTTGACTGCCATTTTCCTCCTTGACAATGCTGCTGGTGTTAATCAGTTTTGGAGACCTGGGTCTCACACAGTGGAAATGTAAAGAATTCAGTCAATGTGAAGAAAAGAATGTCAGGACTAAGGGCGAAAAGGCAAGGGGGAAAGGTCTCCTTAGGGTTAAGGGAGAAGGCAAAACCCAGGTTGGCCACCCCAGAATCCCTGTGCCTCTCCCTGTCCCTGTCCCTTTCCTGCTCTCCTTCCATTCCCGTGGGAGAATCTAGTTGCTGAGCCAACATCCAGGGTCTGCTGTGGTTGTTGAGGCTGTGGTGGGGGTCGGGTGCACACAGGGGCAATGCTCAGCCAGGCTGATGAGAAAGGAAAGCGGTCACTCCAGCAGATGTGACATGCACAGTGACCGGCACAACACAGGTGGGTCTGCTGAAGGACCCGGTGTGCAGCACACGGGCAACAGGTCTGCGTGGTGAAATGACCAGTCAGCTGAGGAGTCTAAGGACATGGGTTATTCTGAGCCACAGTGTAAACTGAAATGGGCGTGTGTAGGGTTGTGGGAATGGTTGCATTTTCAAGCCTATCTTCATGTATGAAGCTGCTAGATTCTCACATGACTGGGTGGGAACAGAAGCTAGAGAATGGACCAGCCTTCCATTACAACCCCTCTGTTCTCAGACAGAGGGCTCCATTCCCATCCCCAAAATGCTTAGGTCCTACTTGGTGAAAACTCTGCGGCCTCCACTTCCTCCCTTGGAATATCAAATCTCTGTCTTCCTTTTTTTCTTTCTCTTCTCCAAAGCCAACTCAAGCCCTTCTCCTAACTTTGCTTAGCTGTTTATTATAAGATGCATCTCCACCAACTTTGTCAACAATCTCTTGGTCTACGGGCTTTTCTTCCTTCCTCAACAAATATATTCATTTCTCCTCCACCTAGAAATATCACCATCAAACATTACTTCAACTCTGCTATCCCCATAAAAGATGGCTTTGTTTTCTGTCCAACCTTCTGCAACCTAGTTTCACCAGTAACACATGCTGGAAATGCGGACTGTCGATGTATAATCCGCAGACCCATGACCATTTCTGAGCCTTTGTCTTCCATGATCTCTTCACTGTATTCACCCTTGCCCACAAATGCCTTCCATCTTGGCGATCGTAGTCCTGTGCTCTGGTCCTCTCTACCATCTGTCTGCCTTTTCCCTTGCAGGTTCTTTTGGTTTCTTCCTGCCTACAGAAGAAACAGTTCTTCAAGGACTGCCACCCACTGCTTCTGCTGTTTTTCTCCCCTCTACTTAGTGATTCCACTGCTTTCACCATCCTCCCCAGCCCCAGCCTCTTTTTGAAGTTCCACACTTGCACTTCCTCTGCCTTTCAGCTGCTTCTACCTAGAGGCCCCTCTAGCATTCCAAGACGATCACGTACTTCTCTCACTTATTGATCACATATTCTCCCCAATATCCAGGCCATCACCATCATTGTCCCTTTTGAATATCTTGTGCAGTCACTCAAGTGCCAAGACAGGCCAGTCCACCTCTGTCAACATTTCCTCATCTTTTCCTTTCTGCTACACGGCAGCACCTTTGCCTCCACTCCTGGAAAGCCTCCCAACTGGCCTCCTGCTTTAGTCCTACCTTCGTTTCCATCTTACCTAGTGACACACTGACTGCTTTAAGATACCACTCTGGCCATTTCTTTTCCCTGCTCAGAAACCATCAGTGGATCTCTACCTCTTGCCAAATGAACAACGGTGACAAAAACAACAAAAAGTACATCTATGCAGACCTAAACTATTTCATATCTCTCATACCTGAGAAACATAGGTTATTATATTTTTTCTCCTTAAGTTTAGTGGTTCATTTTAGGTATACAGCAGTTACATTCATCATTGGGATCTTGTACCTTTACATGACAGGTCTTGGCTGAGAAGCACAGATTACTGACTCAGTGTTCATAAGCTCCATAAAAGAGCCCTGTGAAGAAGAAACCCTCTTCTGGCTTTTTGAGGAAACTAAGCCCCAAAAGGTTAACAAACTTGGCTAAAGTCATTCTGCAAGTAAGAGGCAGAAATCATTTAATTCAAATATCTGTATCCCTTCCTATTGCACATGTCACCTCAAAACAGATGCTCTATTTATTGCCAATCAGCTCCCATCATGGCCAGCAGGATCACATGCCTCTTTGTTCCTACATATGTACTTCTTGTTTTCAGGTATGAAACTGTTTCATACTGACTATCTGCATATTCTGTCATACAAAATGCATCTCAAACTCCATCTCCTCTTCACAGCCTTTCTTGATCCCATACCAGCTCTAAGCTGTTCATATTCTTCTAACACCCTTGACCTTACTGTGCCCTGTATGGCAATATATACTGTATATCTTCTTAATCAGAGGCACCACAAGAGAAGAGCAAGAGTGGTGGAATCACTTAACTTCAAATTTAAGCCTTCTCTCTACCACTTTCTGGCTGTCTTTGGGTTTCAAGTTATTTACTGTCAAAATGGGTATGAGTCATACCTCTCTTGTAATACGATTGTTAAGATGTTTGTTCAGAACCCACACATAACAGTACCCAACAGTGTTTCCTAGTACATAACAGACAGAAGGTTGTAAGAGTAGCTATTCTATGAAATGCATTGTACCAACCCAATCTATATCTGGTGCCTAGCCACACTTATGGAGCTAAAAGAACAATTATATCTGGCAACTTGCTATGTCCCAGTAATACTTTGTCTTGTATCTGACTAGATTAGGACCACTTACAGTTGAGGCCAGGTCTCTCCATTCACTGTAGCAATATCTAGCAGTATCTGTGGCCTCTATTCACAAGATGCCAGTAGCTCCCAAGAATCTTCATACACTGCTAAATGTCTCCAGGGAGCAAAATCACAACGGAGAACTGCTCACTGTATCTTCTGAACATCTTCACCATAATCCAAACAACATATAAGAGGTTCTCCTGCACAATGGACACAGAAGAATAGGAAAAGCCTGTGTGTTCCTGGAGCTCACGAGTGGAGAAGGCAGACAACCAAATGGTTTAATTATCATAGTGTCTTAAGTCCTTAGATAAAAGAAAAGTATAAGATCAACTTCAGCAGTAAGCAACTGACAGCCCAGGAGGAAAGTAGTTCCCTGGAACATCTGTAAGTGGACCTGTGAAGGCTGCAAAGAGCCAGATGAGACACAGAGCATACAAGAAGATGTTAAGTGTGAGACAGCCTGGCCCTGAGAAAGTACGTGAGCTGAGGGTGGGCTGTGTAACTCTGGGTGGAGGATGAAGCTGAGGGCACAAGGTATCCTGTCCGTGAGCTTGGATCTGGGTCAGCCTGATAGTGTTTGTTTTTACCCAATTCTGACAGCATGTGGGGACTGGTAGTAGTTGGAGCATCTAATGCTGCTGTAAAGTAGTTCAAGTAAGAAATGATGAAGTTCTGAGTAAAGACAGTGACACTGGAACTCAGCACAGAAGAGATGACTACAATGGAAGGCCATCGTTTGGAGAAGAGATGGGCAGGGAAGTAAGAACCCATGAAGAAGGCTGAGAAGAAAAGAACAAAGCGCTGGGCAGAGACAGTAAATGAAAAAGAAACAGGATTCAAGAAGGAAGGAATGGGCCAGGGACAAGTCAGGCAGCATGAGGGCCGCAGTGGGCGGCTGGATCTGGCAAATCCAACTCTGCCTACCTCAGCAAGAGAAATTTCTAAGGAATAGTGTGAGGCCACATAAGAGGGCTTAAAGCCATGTGCACGACAGGAGATACCTCCAAAGTTAGAGAGGGGAGGAGATAAGATGCAGTCTGGAAAAGCAGGGCATAAGGAGGGTTTCTTTTTGCATCACGAAACTTTAAGCAATTCTGACAGCTGAGATAGAGCCAGGAGGGAATGATGAACGACGCTGCACAATTTGAGGCAGACTGCAGAGAAACAGAGGAATGGGAGCCAGCGGGGAGGTGAAAGGGCTCAGGACAGGGGCTCAGCTCTGCAGGAATAGATAGAGCCAGGAGGGAATGATGAACGACGCTGCACAATTTGAGGCAGACTGCAGAGAAACAGGAATGGGAGCCAGCGGGGAGGTGAAAGGGCTCAGGACAGGGGCTCAGCTCTGCAGGACGGAGTTACCACTGCACAGGGATCAGGAAGAAGAAAGCTGAGGACACTGTCTTTTCTCTGAGGCAAGGAGTAAGGTCAGTGCTAAGAGGAGGGGCACGAAAGTAGAATGAGAGAGGCTTCCAGGAGGTGCCTGGAAACAGACAAAGGCTGTGTGGAGAACAGCAAGAGGCCCTGAGGAGATGAGACCACTGATGTGGGTGGGGCAGGCAGCCTGTAGGGAAGACAGGAGCATCCTCACAGTATCTTCCTTTCTACAGTCGCCGTGATCAGAGCCTTCCTCTGGAGTCGGCAGAGGGTTCCTGGAGGCTCTGGGAGCCAAAGTGGCAGGCCGGTTCTCTAGTCTCATCTACAGCGCTGAACAACCACAGCGTTCCCCTTCATCCCTCACCACCAATCACGTTGGGCTTAATTTCTGGATCCACTGAGCCCCTCCCCACAAGATTTCTACTGAAAGTATCCTTCAGCGAAGTTGAAAACACTAAGAAAAAGATTCTCATAATTTATGGGCATTCTCCCTTTCCATCCTCTTATCTCAATGGCAACCTTGAAAGGAATTTACCAGAGTACATTTTCAGATGCAGCCTCCACTGGGGGAAACCCTCCAGCTCACCAGTTACTTGCCGGGTCTCTCACTTCTCACTGTTATAAGTCTGTTCAGGCTTTCTTTTTCAAATGGATGGACACTAACAGTATAGTCGCTTCTTCACTTTCAAAATGCAAGGGCTGCTGACTGCCAAGGCCAGTCCCGCTGGTGATGTGCATTCGTCCTGCGGCTCACGGCCGCAGACGTGCTGCAGAACCCGCCCAGTCTGCTGCGGGGAGGGCTTTACTGGTGTGCAGCGTCAGAATGTACATAAATACCAAGCAGTCCCTCTACTGAGAAGAAAGTAAGAGGAAAGCCTTTTAATTTTTATAGAAAAACTCATCACCATGAGTTTATTCTCTGTTTTACTGGCTGTGAACATTTCCTTTTATTTTTTCTCCCATTAAGTTTATTGGTACATTTGAAGCAAACAATGCAGTTACATTCATCACTGGGATCCTGTACCTTCACATGACAGGTCTTGGTTCTCATTTTTTCCCCTTGTCCGTGCCCTCCCTTCACCCCCTTCACCTTCCCTATTTACAAAGACTTTGTTTCCATTTTTTCCTTTTGTCACATTTTTTCTTTTCCCTTATTTCCTTTCCCCTCCCATCCCACTTCCCCTTTAGTGATTTTCTTCCTATTTCACACTCTCAATTATACCGTTTGAAACTTATTTACACTTTTCGTTTTGGCATCACTTCTACAGGAGGCTTCATGAGTGCACTGCCATTGGTGCTACTGACCCTTTTGGGGAATCATCTGACACACCAGGCTGTCCCCACAACACGCACAAAGTCAGCTGGCTTGTAAGACTCACCTTTCTGAGCAGGGAAGAGCTGACTGTTTCCCTCCTTTATACGCGTTGAAAAATAGCAAAGGTGACTAAATGTGACCAGATTGCAAATAAAAACAGTGTATCATTCGTGAATTCACAGCTCTTAATAATATAGGAGGAATATGCACACCCATGTTTATAGCGGCACAGTTTGTAACAGCTAAAAGTTGGAAACAGCCCATTTGCCCATCAGCTGGAGACTGGATAAAGAAGATGGGGTTTTCCTATAAAATCGAGTACTACTCAGCCATGAAGAATGAGAAACTAGAGTCGTTCACAGGAAAATGGATGCACATTGAGGTCATACTTTTAAGTCACACATGTGTAAATACCAAATAGTTTCTCTGGTGTGAAAAACTATAATTGTAAATAAGATCTTAACGGTATAACTGACAATGTGCAGTAGGAAGTAAAGGGGTAAAGCTGTAGGGGAAGTGGGGAGGTTAAAGGAAAGGAAATAAGGGAAAAGAAAAAATATGAGAAAATGGAAATAAAGTTTTTGTAAATAGGGGAGGATGGAGGGGGTGAAGGGAGGGTAGGGGTATGGGAAAAAAATGAGAACAAAGACCTGTCATGTAAAGGTACAAGAGCCCAATGATGAATGTAACTGTACTGTATACCTAAAATGTACCAATAAATTCAATGAGAAAAAAAAAATATAGGAGGAAATGAGCCCACCTCATTTGCAGATGGCATGCACATTTATTTGGTTTGATGGAGAATGGCGTGTGTAAAATGGTACTAGAATAGAGTATAAAGGACACTGGTCCCTTAGTATTGCTGGAGCAATGGTCTAGGATTGTGGGAGACAAGATAGGAAGACGGAGTCCTAATTGGCCTCCTCAGTGAGCATTAAGAAGAGGGCAAGTGTGTTGTCATGCTGCAGGGAAAAGTAAGAACAGCTGAGATCTTGTTGTTTACCCAGACAAATAACATGGAGGGAGGGAGACAGATGAATCTTGTGTAACTCTAATTGCTTATACCTGTGGCTGAGTGAATAAAGCCAACATCCACCAGTCACTGGGCGCTCTCTGTCGAAAGAAGATGAGAGTTCCCTGGTCCTCCATGTTTTAACCTGATCCTGTACCTCTTTACTTTTCACACTGATCACCCCTTGGTCACGTTAGCTGGTAGGCTGTCTCTACGCAGGATTGTCTGTGGATACCAAAACTCACACTGGCCAAGTTTCTTATATAAAATGATACAGTTTTTGCATAAATTTAGGTAAATCCTCTAGTGTACTTTAAATTATCTCCAGATTATTTGTAACACCCAGTCCGATGCAAATGCTACGTGAGCAGATGTTAGCCTGTTGTTAGGGGAGTGACGACAAGAAAAACGTCTCTCCATATTCTCTAGTGACGTGGTTTTCCTTTCTAGTAGGTTCTATCAAAGGTTGGTCAAATCTGCAGTATAAAACCTGTGGCTGTGGAATCTGCAGACAGGGAGGGTCAGATGTTATTAAAGGATCTATCTGATGGATGAACATTCATGATCTGATAAAGAATATCCAATGCCAGGAAATATGGTTCTTAAGTCCATGATTCAGATAAAACAAATGATATTTTAAAGACAGAAACATATTTTATGAAAGTGTTATGCCTAACACAAACAAGAATGCAAATCCCCAGAACGTTCTAGGGTTAGCTTCTCTGTAAGAGCCATAGGAGCTTGGGTGTAAGAGCCAGGAATTTGGGGGCAAGGACCATGTGTGCAACAGACTAAAAAACAAGGGACAGGAAGAAGGAAAAAATGCACATTCACACACTTAGTTGCCTATGCGTACTAGCAAATGCAGTCCAGGCATACCCTGGATTGGGACCTGACAAGATGAACAATCTCTCCCCTTTGGATAGGGAGATGGTGTGTGGTGGGTGTATGGGCTAAGCAGAGCAGGGCCATCCCTTCTTTTCTGTCACACACTTATACACACACTTATAGGATGGGACTGAAAGAAATAAGATTACAGGGCTGGGGATTTAGCTCAGTCATTCCACCACCTGCCTCACAAGCGCAAGGTCCTGAGTTCGATCACCAGTACAAAAAAAGAAAAGAAATAAGATTACAGGTAACTGACAGTTTAACTGAAATTCAGATGTGCTGTCACTTCACCGGGACAATTCCATTTCCTTCACCAAGTGACAACAGAGTTTTAGTAGTTAGCCCGAGTTGCCCTTCCTCTTTTTAAATGTTAAACCTACCTTGGAATCCTGATACTATTTGGACAATGTCTTCATAGACCATTAGAGTAGCAGATCGTTCCGGAAGCAGACCAAGGCTCAGCGAAGAAAATACTGCAGGAACAAAAATGGACATCAGGGAATTCTGACAGTCAAATCTAAAGGCCCATTACAGTTTTCTGGTTACTCCAAGTTACTGGATTCTCTGACTTTAAATCAGTAAGTAATGTTGACTTCCAATATGATTAAAAAAGGCCTGCAAAATGCCACACGATAAACTGCAATCACTTAACTACCTGCCCTAGAAATAGTCAATTTAAGCACACTGTTACAAATTTATAGTACGCTGAGCCTCTTCATATTAGAAATAAGCTATAGCATATATTTTATATAATATGTATTATATATAATAGAGCAGTAATATGTATTTTATGAATACAGAATATAACATTACATAGCAACATTAAGAAAGACTTTAAAAGTATGTGTTAAGGTTCATGTTTGCCTCCTAGTAAAAGAACATTCCCTCCTATCTTGGGAACCAACATGATAGAACTTGGGCTCATTTAAGAAGTACTGCCTTAGTACTAGGATTTCCAATAAAAATTTCACAAAGCCTATAAATTTACCTATGAATAGAACATACGTATTTGAGAAACAAAGGACTGCTTTATAGAATAATCATAGTCACTAGCACTCCTGAGTCCTTATCAACATGCCAGACACTATCTACGTTCTTTGATTTTAGTAACATCTAAATATCACAAACTCTATGAAATGGGTACTGTTACTGTGCCTGTTTTACAGGCATGGGAATTGGTTAATATGTAAGGAAATAGCTTCTCTGGTACCCTCAGTTGACAGATGCTAGAGCCAGGATCTGACCTCAGTCACAACACTACATGGACTCACTCTCAAAGGCCCCTTAGACTTCACCTGGTCCCCATCTCTAAATTGAGAGAGGAAAGGAAGGCTTGGAGGAACTGTGACCTTCTATACTGAATTTACTCAGCTGCCACTCTGCAAGGCCCAGTACTAGATCCTGGGTGGAACACATAAAGTGGGAGGCAGCCTCTCCTTCAGGGATTACACATTAGAAGGGGGTCCAAGCCTTATAAAAAATAGCAAACGACGAGGAGAATGTGGTGCCAGGACAAAGGTGTTGGTGGAAAACAGTGGCTGCTCCTCAAATATTAAACACAGAGTGATCATGTGACCAGTAATTCCTCTCCTAGGCATAAGCCCAGGAGAACTGAAACATAGTCACACAGAAACCTGTACTCGAATGCTCATACAACACTATTCATAATAGCAAAACAGCAGAAACCACTGAAATGTCTGTCTGCCGAGAGAGAAATGGATAGATATGGTGTACACACACACACACACGCACGCGTGCGCCCACGCACACACACACGCAGGAGTAGTATGAATCCATAAAGAGGAGCGGAGTGTTACAACACAGATAGACGTTGAAAACTGGTGCTGAGTGAGAGATCCCAAGGCCACAGACTGTCTGATTCAATTTACACACAATACCCAGAAGAGGCAAGTCTACAGAGGTGGGAAGCCAGTTGGTAGCTGACAGGTGCTGGAAGGGGCAAGAAATAGCAAATCAACGCTAAAGGGTTTTTAGGAAGGATGAAGTACGCTGGAGTCAAGAGACTGGTGATATAGGGCCGGGGATTTAGCTCAGCGGTTCGGTGGCCTGCCTTGCAAGTGCAAGGACCCGAGTTCGATCCCCGGTACCAAAAAAAGAAAAAAAAAGAGACTGGTGATATAGGGCCGGGGATTTAGCTCAGCGGTTCGGTGGCCTGCCTTGCAAGTGCAAGGACCCGAGTTCGATCCCCGGTACCAAAAAAAGAAAAAAAAAGAGACTGGTGATATGACAGTCCACAAACTTGTGAAGTGTATACCCTAAAGTGGCATGTCTCAAGTATATATATATATACATTACATCTCAAATATAAAAATGAACAAAAATTTCAAAGATTCACCTCAAAGGTTCAGATGAGAGACGTACAAGGGGTGATCAAAATATACAGTGAGTATTTCAGTTTGAAAGATTCACTACTTAAAACATACTGCCATTCATCCCCCTTAAGACTCTCCTCCACACTTTGAGTGCACCGGTCCCCTCACTTTTGTTGTGTTCTGAAACAGTTCTGGAAGTCCTCTTTCAATAATCTCTTTGCTGCTTATGATCAAAATATGATGAATGCTGCCAAGTCTAACATTACCGTGTGTCATCATCCACCTGATTCACTTGTGGACACTGCAAATTTTGGCTCTTCCCCAAAGTCAAAATGACTACAAACGGTAAAAATTTTGAATGGATTTGGGACACAGAGGCAGCCACAACAGCACAACTGAAGAAACTCATGAAAGAGACTCCTGGACTGGTACAGACAGTGGCAAGAATGGTGGGGTAAATGTTGAAAGTGAAGGGGACTATTTGGAGGGAGATTAGTGGCGGTGCGTCTTGCATTGTAATAACTTTTCAAGTTCAGACAGTCACCTTAGTGTTCGGTCACACCTCCCAGTTCAGAATAAGTGTGTTTGGGGGTAGATCATAAGAAACTGCTACAGCAAAGGCTGCCAGCAGCTCCTGCCTCTTCCTAGCTGCCTGGCCACGAAGACGCCACAGGTGAGCCAGGACCAGAGGGAGAAACTCTAACATGGGTAAATCTTCTATGGCCACCTCAAAGATCACCTTAACATCTAAGAGTGAGGCAGGACACCTGGTGGCCAGGAAGTAAGGGCAGGTTGCTGTGGTGGGCACTGCCCATCAGAAGGAGCTCATCTCCAAATACAGGAAGTGCTACACGCCACCCCAGAGCCTGCTCGGAGCCTGGAGCATGTTTTAGGGCCTGCTCCCCCTCTACAATGATTGTGGGGGTCTCTGAGCTCACAAACTACCCACGATCATCCTTCAGGAGCTACAGGATTATTGTGATGTGTTGTGAAGATTTTTTTTCAAGGAAAGTACTTGGTCCTTCAACACAGAACAACTGTTCTAGCAAACTGTTTCCTAAATATTATTTCTCAGAGTAGAAGATTTCTTATAGTGGGGCAGAGGCTTCCTGGAGAAGGGCAGGAACTGTGCGTACAAATTCACTGAGTACCCAGGGAGTGAGGTGGCAGAGAGGCCCTGATTTTCAGGTAGTTTTATCATGTTGGAGTGGGTGCTGGCTAGGGCTCAGAGGTCCTCTCTACACCAAGGAGATGCTGTTCTGTGGTGCGAGGGATGGAACCCAGGGCCTTGCCCCTATTAGGTAGGTGCTCTGTCCTAGAACTTCACCCCTGGTCTTTCATTATTTGAGAGAAAGGGACATCTCGCTCCATCTGCTAGAGGAGGGTAAACTTCTTGGAGCAAGAAGCAGGCCAGCTAGCTGGGTTTTAGGGGACAGAAGACAAACTCAACAGGGGAACGGCAGTGAAGGAGCAAAGGTTTCTTCATGTGACCCTCACTGCCCAGTGTACCCTGCCCGAGACAGGCGAGGGGGCGATGGCCAGGGAAAGAGGGTCTCTGTGTCACCTTTATGTTGCTGAGGCCACCAGAGGATTTCAGGCCCCTGTATAATGTAACTGGGCAGGCGTATTTTAAGACACAGTGCTCAGTAATGTCAAGGGTAGTCTAAGGGGGCAGGTCAGAAGCTGCTGGGACAATTCCAGATCGTTTCAAAAGGCTGGGCCAATGGATGCAGAGGTGGAAATAATTATGATACAAATGCTATTCTTTAGGGAATGGATTGCATTTTATATAGCTAAATTTGTGCTTACATTTCTGCCCAAGGTGAAGGTTGCTCCTTTTATGTTGGGCTCCCACCACCCCAACTTACAGCCCCTTCTGTGAAAGGAGAAAAAGCTCAAAAAATCTTCTAGGAAATATTGACAGAGATGAAAAGAGAAATTCATTCCAAGATCTTATAAGAATGCTCATGCAAGCTGGGCCTGGTGGCACACACCTGTAATCCCAGGACTTGGGAGGCTGAGGCAGGAGGATCACCAGTTCATGCCTAAACTAGGTAATTTAGCAAGACCCTGTCTAAAAATAAAAAATGGGGTGGGGTGTAGCTCAGTGCAAAGGCCCTGGGTTCAATCTCCAGTAATACACACACACACACACACACACACACACACACCCCTACCTCATACAAATTGAAACACTGCATACATGTACTAAAGAAAACATCTTTTCAGTTTGAATTTTTCATAGTCCTTTAGAAGAGGCTTCCAGCTTGTTTCTCTTTCTTGCTGAATTATCTGGAATACCAAAAGTGTTAGACCTGATATCCAAAAATTATGTAGAAAAACAAAGATTCGCTTTTTACAAGAGACCAGTGCAAATTTAGGTCTTGTTTTTTGTTGGATTCCATGTAAGGATAACTTTATTACACTGAAAAGGCAAGGCAAGCAGAGTAAATAACCAAAGACACAGGAAGGGCCTTGGAGATTATTTAGGCAAATTGAGTTCATTTTAGCATCAAGAAACCCAGGCTCAACAGCCCTGACAAGCCCATCTGTGGGGCTGCAGAAGATGGGCAGGCCTGGGCCCAAGGTGTCTTCACACTGTCCAGAAGGCTTCCTATGAAACTTTGCTGTTCTCATTATTTAACTTGTTTCAGAGAAGATATTACAGAAATGTTTTTTTCTCAAATGATCACATTAACAGTCAAAACGAGTGTAATTAGGAGTCTACCTTCACTATTCGTCTATGCCATCTATGTCCAAATGTGCCTACGTGACACAACTTCCCCGAGACTGCAGAATCAGTACCCTTGGTGTTCCACGCACTCAAGTGGTCCCAGTGGAGCATTCTGATGCGTACATTTCAGGCTGCACAGGCAACATATGGCGACCCTCCGCCCTCTTGTTGCAGCCCTCCTGCTGGAGTCCTTCTTTCCCTCTGGTTATTTAGCTGCCACACTTCTCAGCTTTTAGCTGGCAATTTTTCTACTTCACATGGCGCCTAAACGCAGTACTGAAGTGCTGTCTAGCAATCCTTAGTGTGAGAAGGATGCGATAAATGCCTCTGAAAAAGTGTGATGAAAAAGCTTCAGCCAGGCACGAGCAACAGTGCTATGGGCTGTGAGTTCAACGTTAATGGATCAGCAATGTGTGTTAAGTAAGATGTTTTTAAACAGAAACACGTATTTGAGCACTTGATAAAAATGTGACCAGAGGCTATGTGGCACTTCCCTGGTGTTTCCTTTACAGCAACATCTCGGTATCTGAGTTAAAGGCAACTTCATAAATTACAACACTCAAGAACAAATGTGAAAGGGCTGCTCCTGTGTGGCCACCCTCCCGAGCAGGCAGACTCCACCTCAACTTTCCCTGTGTTATTTCCAGCGAGTCTTTCTGTGGGAAATGGGGGTGGTGTCAAAGGCTTCCTTCTGATGAGACTAATAAAGATGTCCTCTCCTCTTACTGGCCTTCCCTGGGTTCTGTCTTAGGTCCTCTTTACCCTCCTGTACCACTTGAATCACTTTGGGGAACCAAGGTGTGCCAGGTCTCCTGAGCCCAGGGCCTGGTCCGGAAGACTCTATCACTCTTCCGCCAGCCCGAAACCTGAGGTTCAACTCTTGCTTCTTCTACTCCATCCTCTTCCTTAACTCTTTTCTCCAAGGCCCTCTGGATACTGTCTACTAAGCATTTCTCAGGCTTATCCCCTTTTGTCCACAGTCTTCCTTAATGATCTCAGTTACAGCCATATCAAATCCACTTTCCATTGCTCACAGAGCAGTGGGCTCCAACTTCAGGGAACATTTTAACCCATAAGTACCTTGTGATGGGGCATAAGGCTGCCTGTTAAAAGATTCCTGAACCAAGATCCCCAGGCAGAATGGCTGAGTGCCAGAATCTGTATATTTTTACAAACACCTTCGGATCCTGATATCTGTTGACCTCCAGACTTCATACTCACTGGTCCTCTTCAGGAAACTTGTTCACTCGCGTGCACTGGTGAAACCCTCCTCCCCCAGCATCCCAGACATCACAGCATGTTTATCAGGGGACTTGTCCCACATGATGGCGGACTTTGTGTCAGTGTGACTGGAGTCAAGGTGAAGGGTGAATTCTTGCTCATTGTCTTCTTGGGCCAGGACACCTGTCTTCTCCTGCCCTTGGACTTAGGGATCCATGTTCTCTAGCTTTTGGATTCTGTAGTCACACCAGTGGCCTCTGGGCTCTTAGACCTTCATCTCAGACTGAGAGTTACAGCACTGGAGTGCTTGGCTCTGGGGTTTAGACTTGGACCGAGCCACGTTCTTGGTTTCTTGGTTCTCCAGCTTGAGACAGCCCAGTGTAGGACTTGGCAGTCTCTGTAACCCAGCAAGACATCTTCCCCAATACACCCTCCTTCATATCCTATATGTTATCTCTCTCTGGAGCATCCTGACTACAACACCTGTGTGATAGAAATCACTCCTGGGACTGGTTTTATAAATAAACTAGAAACTTTTAGGCAAGGTCTGTGTCTGGTACCTGACACAGTGCTCAGTAAGTAGCAGGTAGCTAAATAAAACTCGGCTTGGTGGTGTACCCCTGTAATCCCAGCACTCTGGCAGGCTGAGGCAAGAGGATCATAAACCCGACTGAATTAGTAAGAATCTATCTCAAAATAAAAAATAAAAAGGGGTGGGTATGTAGTTCAGTGCAAGGATTCAATCCCCAACAGTACAAAAAAAAAAAAAAAA